CACCTGAGCTGGGTCCCACAAGCTCCCTTTATAGTTGAGGGAGAGAAGCTGGTGTTTCTAGGGCACAAGTTTGTCTCAGCCCAAAGCTAACATCTCTGTTTGGTCCACTGACTCATGCTCTCACATTTCTTCTTCTCACTGCTGATTATGAAGCATCCTAAATGTCCCTATCGTGGATGGATACCACCTTAGTTACGCTATGACTTAGGTCAGAACTGGCCTTAGGCAAAGGTAGTCCTAGCAACTCTTCAAGGATGCTGCTTTTCTGTTGAAGTCAACCTCTCTCAAGCACACTGCTACGGTATAACTGAGCCATCGTAGCTGCCCTCGGGCAGGATTTACCCCCAGCCCAGCAGATGTACTTACAGTAATCTCAGATACCTTCAGCTCACTGTAGGGTAAGCGCAGACGGGCACCAGGAGAATGGGGACATGCAGTAACGGGTTCCTGTGGCTCCGGTCCCTGCACCACCTTGTACCTGCATCCCGTTGCTCTGGGCACCACCAGCCAGCTATGGACACCAGTGGTTTGTCTGGGAAGTAGGGAGTAGGGAATTAAGGAGATTTCCAGGAATGGTTTTGGAGTCCTGCTTTTGGGAAGCAAGTCGTATTATCAGGAAATGAAGAAAGGCACAGGTCTGAGGGGTTTGCTAGGCAGGTGTGGATAGCGCAGCTGAAGATGGGGACTTGAACTGCCTCAGGGCTTAGATTTTGGCAGGAGAAAAATTTACAATCTCAGCTTCCGTTTCAGGAGCTCTGCATTGTCTAAGGCCAGCTTTGTCTCCTACACCACCCTGCTTGTCATAGCTACTTTTTTTGTAGGAGATCTTCTGAACTGATTGTAGGTCTAGTTCTTCCTTATGTAAACCTTCCAGCTGAAACATGGGGAGAAATTAAATACTACCACCGAGTCCTGTATTGCAGAGAAAGAAATCTGCCAAAAGATTATACACGTAGCAAAGATTCTTCGGTATGCACTTTCTAGATCAGACATCTGAGCGAAAGCTTTATTCACAGATGGTGTTGAACACCACAAGTACTATTCTTACATTGGGGCCGTGCAGAAAGTTCACAAGTATTTCCAGTCACTTTTTCAGGTGAGTTGATTTTATTGCAGAAATGGAAATGTATTGGGTTACATGTGCTAAGTGCATCTACCTGCACAGAAGAAAGACAATCCAGAGACTTCCTCTTTGCAGGGAGGTAGATGGGGACTGGACATGACACAGCACTCACTTTTTACGTGACTTTCCGGAGGCAGGCATCTTTATGCAACTGTAGCAGACTTTTAGCAGTTTTGTCTCGTTATACTTCCTGTTTAATTAACGTATTGGTAGATTTGGCAGATTCTCCCTTAGAACGATCACTTCTCCTATGGTCCCCGTGTGCTGCTCGTGGCACACACAGGCTGAAACAACACTTGCATGGCTGTTTGCAGTCTCTCCCAACAGCCTAGATGCAGGAGCCATCATCCCAGGGCCGACTGTAACCCAGGGATCCGAGCACCGCCATTGCTCTGAGGCAGGCTGGAGTTATAACCACCATTTGCCACTGGGCAATTCAGAAATAGGATTTTCCTTGCCATTTCTAGCCTTTGCTTTTGTAGGCTGCAGGACGTGTGCTTTGCCATCCTCTGGCACGCAGTCTCTCCTACATATCTACCAGGCACCATTAGCACTGTATTTGTTGCTTCAAGTTGCTTTGCCATACTTGCATTTTACAGTGCGTGAAGAGTCAATCACAAAAGGAAAGGCAGTCAAAGACACTATACATAGAATAAATATTTTGGGCCATTTTTAGCTTGCCTATAGGTATCAATGACTGTTTTCAGCCATAACGTAAGGGGAAAAAAACAGAAATAAATGATACTGTAATTTACTGTGAACCTTCCCCTCCTCCTCCTCCTTGAAAATCCTTGGTTTTGAACAGTGTGTACTGCTCTTCCCTTTACTGCGATAGACTGAATCGTGGGATGCTTCAGGTTGGAAGGGCTCTCAGGATGTCTCTAGACCAACCTCCTGCTCAAAGCACCATCAGTCCCGAGATCAGCCCAGGTTGCTCAAGGCTTTATCCTGTCTGGAAACATCCCAGCTTTGCACGTAAAATACAACCCCCTCCTTGCTATCCTGCCTTTTCTTCACTAGGTCCTGTTACAGGTAGAACCAATGTAGCACCTTATCTTGAACCTTTTGTGGCCACAATTCAAAGAGTAAACTGTAAGCTTCTTTCCATAGGAGTTCATCGTAAACTGCGTAAGGTTGATAAATAGGCCTCAATCCAAAAACCTGCGTGTGCAACTGCCTGATGTGAATGATTCCCCGCTAACTTACAGTGCAGTAGATCTAAAGATAATTTAAGCGTGCTTGAAATCAGGCAGGTACTTAGAAATTTTGCTGCACTGGGGTCCAAATCATTCTGAATCAGGGTGGAAAACCAAAGGGATAAAGTCATCAAAACCAAACAGGCTGCAGACATTCAGCTGACTATTTTGCTCAGTATTTGCATTGTTTGAAGGGTAACGGTGAAGCGTCTCTCCGTTATCCGCAGGGCTCCCATCTGGCTGTTTACCAGTGGAATCTGAAAGGCTGTTTGGAGTCCACGTGATTTTTAGTATTTCAAGCAGGTTGGTTGTGTTCAGAGATGTTCCAGTCCAAAGGCATTGTGCAGAGGAACTGTCAGGCCATGAATAAAAGATAAAAAGCCCAATATTTTATAACCAACTTCATTGGACCGGCTCAGGGACTGGTCCGAACTGCAGAGATGCAGCCAGCAGACAGGTGACTTCCGTGACGGTTTTATACTGAAATTTAAAAAATAAGTACCTAATGCTTGTGTTGAGTATCGAAACCATCCTATGCTCTATGCAATACACGCGCGGCAGGGCAGGGCAGGGCAGGGCAGGGCAGGGCAGGGCAGGGCAGGGCAGG